CCCCCCTCTCCCACGTCTGCGCAGGCTGCCACCCCACCGCCACCCACCTCCGCCACCGCCGCCCCCCCGTCTGCGCGGGCCGCCACCCCACCATTCTTCTTCGACTGTCATTTTTCTTCTAGTAACATATATAATGTTATATTAATATACTTATTTAATATATTTAATATTATTATTTATTTAATATTTATTATTTTAAATATTATTACATGTTTTCAAAAATTAAACCACCAAACACAATTTCAGTTTTTTTAAAACTGAAAACAATTTCAGAATAAAACTACCAAACGTATTTTCAGAAATGATTCCAAAATGAAAATAAAAACGTTTTCATTTTCATTTTCGTACAGAAAACAAAAACGTTTTGAAACCAATTCCAAACGCACCCATTAATGAGTGTTTTTATACTGAAAATAATCTCTTGATAAAACTACCAAACGCATTTTTAAAAATGATTTATGTCTAAGATTAAAAACTGTTGATGGCTGAATTCCGTCAACAGAAATACACCGGGTTACCCGCTAGTATCCCGTTGGGTTGCCGGCTGGAAATTTACTGTATATTTAAAGTCAAGCTGTGAAGTGTTTGCTATATTTTTGGGAGCGTGAGTGTAACGCTTGAATGGGATGACACACAAGATTTATAGTGGTTCACTCTGTTAATGAAGAGCTACATCCACTTGTGTATGATATATTTCTTTTGGACTTTTACAATTTACATGCACGTATATTCTCTCTATGATTCAATACTCGAGAAGTCCATCCTCTTTTTTCGTGTATGGGGCTTTGCCCTTTTTATAGCACAAGCTTCCTTCGTGTGCAGTTTTCCTTTGTAGGTAGAAGTACTCGAGTGGCATACCTTTCTAGGCTCAGACCATAGCCCACTAATCACCTTTTGGACTGTTCACTCAGCCAATTGGTCCTCTATTACAGCTCTGTGGATTCCTGTAATTCTTCACTGCCCACTGTAGGGCGGTTTAGGGGATTGCAATTAATGCCCGTATTGCAGACGTCTCCCACCCCTAAACGTAACTTGTGATGTCAAGCTTCTTTCTGAAGAGTATTCCCCTCGCCGTCTGTGCCGCGTAGACCTCATGTCCTTTCTGACAGTTGACCCTTTCCAGAGGAAGCTTGTTGCATAAGTTCGACGGCATAACTGGTCGACGCCCTAATTTGGGCCTTTCTTTGTAGCGTCGAGGGGAAGCGAACTTCAAGCGTCGAGGGTTGTCACCTTTTGAGGGAAAGTAGGGCCACGTGTCACGCTATCGTCGTTCCACATGTTGTTGTGAAAAATCGTAACGCAAGTATACGCTATCGCAATCAAGTAATATAATAGTGAATAAGAATATCGTCCCACGAGGATTGTTGTTCACTAATTACCGAAATTATATTAACCCTAATTTTATTTGAAACTTGAAAGGAGAGTTTATAAAATTAAGTAAAGTAAAACTAAAACAATTAAATAAATTAAACAATGCTAAGCAATGGATGAAAATTCAATAGATTAAGATTCTAGGGTTTCCGATTTCACCAAATTAATCATGTTCAAATTCTCATAATTCAAGAAAATTAACATTCAATCCTATACTGACAGTAATTTCTCTAAAGCAATTATTATTCTTTCTCAAGCAACAATAATATTAATCCAACAAGCAAAATCTACATCTCTGTCAGACTTCTAAACCTGTTGAAAATCATTAAGTGCAAGAAATTCAAAAGAACTGCACAAGCATCATAGATATCTCTATCCTATGAACAACTCATGGTATTTCAATTAAGAGCTTATTCAATTATCACCTCTCAGTCTCAAATCAAATACAAAATCATGTAATAGTTGGCCTAACAATCACAAGCATTAAGAATAAATTGAAACACTCAGCATATATGGATTAAACATCAATTACTTAAAAAGAAGATTGAGAATTCGAACATTCATAATCCGGCTACATCGTAGCCCTAGAAAAAGGAATTAGTTCATCTCTAAACAAAATAAATTCCTAAACAAAGTCTTAATCATTGGAAAGGAAAGAAAAGAACTAGTTTGGAGTTGAATTGAAGCGTCTCCGTCTCCGGATTGAGCCGCTCTTCTTCTCCGTCCCAATTCTCCTTTTATTCTCTTGAATCTTCTCTCAAAATCCAGCCATCATTCCACAGTCTAAAAGTTCCCTCTAATTGCCCTAGAATCATCTATTTATATGTTTCGGAGCATTAGGGTCAAAACGGGTAAGTTTTCTCGCGATTGGCCTTCAAAACGCGTAATTTCTCGCGTCGTAGCACTGCGGCGCTACTGTGTCAAACGCTTGGGCACTGCGGCGCTGTAATGGGCGCCTAAGCGCTACCCATTCTGCCTAGTGCACAAATTCTGCCGGATTTCAGCGCCGCGGCGCTACAAACTGGCGCCAAAGCGCCACCAGTTCTGCCCAAATTGCTGATTCCGTATAACTCAGCGCCAAGGCGCTACAGATTGGCGCCTAAGCGCTATGATTGCTGTCTTTTTCCACCAAAATTTGTCCAAAACCTTCCAAATCATAGACTTCCACCTATCCTTCAAACAAAGAACAAAAACACACATAAAAACTAACAAAAACCTCGAAACCAACTAGATATTAAGTATAAAACGATACCAAATGAGCGAGTAAAACTCACTCATCACATGTCACCCACATTTTCCCACACAACAGCTGCCCCCAGGTCGAGGGTTTCCTTTAGACAGCCTCGAGCTAGGTACGAGTGTCTTTCTGTGCCTCGGGTGTGGGAACCTAATTCCGAGCCTTCTTTCGTAATGATAGTCTTGACGCTTCAGCTTTCCTCGAGGAACGTAACCGTCGCGTCGGCCAGTTCACTAGGCTTCATTTTTGAAAAGGTGAATATGAGCCCTTTGATCGTGCCCTCTCACCTTCCCGCCTTCGTTTGTTGCCGTCAGATCTGGGCAAGATGCCCCTGCTGTTGGATTTTACGAACTTAATCTGACGGCCA